ATGACTTGCTACTTAGGAATGTAAATTACTTTGCATCGTGATCTTTGAGAAACGTAGGTCAATCCAAAGAATGAGAGAATGATCTTCCTTGTTCTCAATTGCCCAGAGGTCTAAGGGTGGGCAACCTCCGCCCCCACAAGCAGAACATGCTTGGCTGAAGGCACAGGGTAGCAAATGAGTGCAGGTCATGTTGAGTTGAATGCGTTTCATTTACACATAGCATGGGCATGCCCTCCACCAGCCTGATGGAGAGGCTGGATGCCAAGACTAATGATAGGGCATTTCAACACCTTTCAAAAGAGAGCATTTGTTTGTTAAGGGCATTTTTTGCTACTTTATTTTGTGCTTGTAGGCAATATACACGCAAAGGCCTGACTTGTCAGACACTCTTGGAAGAGGCACCAACATGGCACAAAAGAAGAAAGTAAAGCCTCTTCCAAAATGTCTTTAAAAGTTTTTGTCAAAGGTTTTAACACAGAGATGAAAATAGATTATTGCAGCACCGACACAGTTAGATTTACTTCTCTGCAATTTAACTGTTTTTAAAGACAAACATTTTTATGAGGTAGATATATCAAAGCACATGAAATAAATACCACATCACAGGAGTATGGTAAATTACGTACAGTAAGTTTCAAACAATACAGTAAATTATTAAGCTAGTAGTGCGATACCCATCAGGAGAGGTTGGTGTTGGTCTGAATCCACAGTGATATTTATCAGCCTCTATGGATATGTTTCAAACTTACTATTATGCAAGTGCTGCCCTGAGAAGACTCAGGGAGGTCAGACACATTCTCATCACCTTGCAAACAGTGTTAGAGAAGGGCCCAAGGAGATTTAGTTCCCAGAGAAAGACATTAGACATGAAAAGAACAATAAAGAACACTTACTGACCCAAGTGCTTCACAAGCACTTGGTTGCCTGCTCTTCTCCCTACCACAAGCTTTGTTTTTATTCTCTAGGCAGAGACGTCTGATACCCTTCAGTTTGGCCTGCTTGCTCTTATCCAGGTGCAAAATCATTGCTAAAGAGGGGCAGATACACAGGCAAATCACATAGCATTTCCTAAGCTTCTCACTCAGGAACAGTTTTGTCCTATGTTACTATAAGTTCTTTAAGGTAATAACTACCCTGGAACATCATATCTCTAGAGGCAAAAGATTAAAAGAATATTTCACAGAGTTGTTGAGCATCATATAATGTTCAAATTACCAAACCTAATTTTAAAAGTTCATAACCAGTAAAAACCACATTAAATTAAATAATTGTTGCTGGACTAGTTCAAAGAAAACATAAACAAACAATGAAGTTACCAATAGTTACTCTAAAACAAAATCCCCATTCCCACTTTGCTCTTTCATATATTTGGGGGCTGCCAAATGGCTTATTTACTTTTACTAGATAGTGCTTAAAACAGTAAATCACAAACTTAGTTATGCAGCCTAATAAAGGGAAATAAAAGAACTATGAGTTGCAAAATGTTTGATTATCTACAACTGTAGTATTCATATTTTGGCAATGAACAACAATCAGAAATATCAGAGTGTCTTCAGTGATGACAGTTGTTTGGAGCCCAAAATTTTAAATTCAGGTATTTATGAATCAACAGAAGTAGACTAATCATAAAGACAATAAAGCAATTATGAAAATTTGCCGAAAGACTACATGATAGTAAAATGTAATTCAATTAAATGAACTAAGATGCATTTTCATATTCAAATCTCTTAGGCTAAAGAAAAGACTCAAAGGCATAATTAGATACGATGGTAATTGCTTAAAATCTCACCAGTGCACCCTATTAAACAGCTAATAATACCTTTTAGTGCTCCTTCACAGAAAACCTGTTTTAGAGCTAACACTAGGATTAAAAAGATAATACCATATAACAATCAATCCCCAAGGCTATGGAGTATTCCTATTAACAGGTGTAGCTGAGCATTTTTACATTGTAAAAGTTGGATTAAAATACCTGTATCCAAAGAGATAACTAGAATAACATTACAAAATGGGACAGGAGTAGTGTTGCTTATGGTAGATTTGTTGCACACCAAAATTGGCTTTGTTGAATAAAGGTTAGAATTTTAATTATTTCAGTATTCAGGAAAACATATTTTTCCCATCAAGATCATATCATGGAATCATAGAATGATATACTATCCTGAGCTGGGAGGGAACCACAAGGATCATCAAGTCTAATTCCTGGCTTCACACAGAACTGCCCAAAAACCAAACCATAAGTCTAACACACCGTGAACACTGTCAGGCTGGGGGCCATAACCATGTCCCTGGGGAGCCTGTCCCAGTGCCCGACCACCCTCTGGGTGCAGAACCTTTCCCTGATACCCAGCCTGACCCTCCCCTGTCCCAGCTCCATGCCGTTCCCTCCGGTCCTGTCACTGTCCCCAGAGAGCAGAGCTCAGCACCTGCCCCTCCGCTCCCCTCGTGAGGGAGCTGCAGGCCACTGTGAGGCCCTCAGCCTGGTCTTCTTTGGGCTGTACAATCCCAGGGACCTCAACCACTGCTCACATCTTGCCTTCTAGACCCTTCAACATCTTCATAGCTCTCCCTTGGGTGCTAATTGTTGTATGTCTTTCTTACACTGTGGTGCCCAAAATCACACACAGGCCACACCAGTGCAGAACAGAGCAAGTCCATCCCTTCCCTCGACCAGCTAGCAATGCTGTGCCTGATTCACCCGAAGCTGCCAGAGCACACTGCTGGCTCAAATGCAGCTCGCTGTTGACCAAAACCCACAGATCTCTTTCTGTGGGCTCTCCAGCCTCTCAACCCCCAGTCTGCATATATAGCCAGTGTTGTCCCTTCCCAGGAGCAGAATCCAGCATTTGCTCTTGTTGAACTTCGTGTAGTCAGTGACTGCAGCTTTCTTCTCTTTACTTCAGGGTTCTTCTGTCTTCCCTTCATATGTAGGAAGCCTGTGTTCTTCCTTTGTTAAGTAAGTCTCAAGTTAACTATCATAACCATAATTAGTATACCTTACATAGGCAAAAAATTCTGCTGGAAAAGTCTAACTGCCCAGAAAATTTTGAAAATATAATGCGGATATAAAGAGGATGGCTTCTGACTGGTAGCATCTCCTACGGTTGCTTCAGAAAATATGTGTTTTTATACATTTCTTTGCATTAGTAGCTGAATAATAACTCCTATTTAGAAACAAACAAACAAACAAAAAACATTGATGCAATATTTGTAAAAAGAAAAGTTATCTATGCATATATTTAGAGTTTCAAGTTTCTTAAAAGTAAATAAATAAATAAATCTGTAATTTTCACTCTTTGTTTGCGAAACTACTCACTTTTAAGTTGGTTCTTTTTCTGAATGAGAATTATCTCTTAGAGTTTGCATGGCTGATTAAAAGTCTGATTAATTTATTTAGTTATTTATGAATGTCTTATACATACTTGCTTCTTTCAACTCAAACATTAGCAAACATTATGAATTATAAACATGGCAGCAAACTTGCTGATTTCTGTGAAAGTAAGGAAAGATCCTCAAATACTAAGCTTCATTATTTCAGTACTAGCAATAAATTCCTGATTGCAGCCTTCCTAGGAGAGTTATAAATATTTTTTGTCAGTGTCCAGTTCTACCATTTGCAACGTGACGTGACATTCATTGTAGTATCAAAAGTTCAAATCACAATATCCTCTTAGGAAGCTTTAATTCCACTCTTAGACTGAATTAGGTTATCTGTTAAGGATCAAATGTAGATCAGTAGTTGCTCATTTCCCCACTGACTATTTACTAACCTGATTGTCTGGATGACACACAGAAACAATGGAACATACAACTTGTAGAAGACAATTGCAGTCATTCAGAAAGGAAAACAGAAACAAATGGCACTGTTGTTTGCTTGTTCAAAATATTTTATGGTTAAAGCAAGCAAGTACATCCCTGCACGCACAAGGAACAGATTGATGGGAAGAAGATGTGATGCCATTGAAGCCCAGCAAGGGGATTGTAACACTAATTCCCAGTGCTCTGTGTGGGGCTGCACAGATACGACTAGCTGCTAAGAAGTGCCATGTAATCCTGGGAGAGGTGTTCAAGTCCTGGGTGCTCATTTAAACACTGATGCTAGCATATACATGTGATGCTAGCAGCAGTATTCATGAGATGGATTCTATATGTGATATCAGGTTCATTCACAAACTCAGAACATGTCCACTTCTCCCTCATATGTAATGCCAATATATTACAAGACTCATCTATTAACTAATTCCCATCAGTTGTAAATCATTGTGCAAAACATGACATAAAACTTATTGAGTATGAGGTACCACTCCTCCCTTCAATTTAAATACGAATTAGGCCTGAAGTTGAGTTTAAATATTCAGTTTCAGATTTTTATATTGTTCTCAGAGTCATTGTTTTCTAAACATGGAATTTTAAAGAAATCGCTAAAGTATGTTGTGAAAGGAGATCAGAAGCATGCAACCAAGTGTGAGAACTGGGATGGGATAATTTTAATGAAAATCATACTTTTCTATCATTGTTACTTAGAGGAAAAACTGAAAGGACATAAAATTAATCCTTTTTTTGCCAAAATTAAGCAATGAAACATCCTAGGGGAATCTTCAGAGGAAGAATATCCAAGCAGAGAAGCAAAGTATATTTGGGGTTCTCTTACCATATGTGAAGCTGTCATATAAAGTTTTATGAGCCCTTTTTGAAAAGCTATAAGGAAGTCTTTGTTAAGTGTACTGGAGATAATCTGAGCTCTTGAAAGTGCTTTTTAAGTGCAGTGAACATTAGTGCCCTCCATGCTAGTGTGAGTTTTATAGAAATACAAATATATTTTTATAGAAATACTACAGATACATTTTCTCTTTTATAAATAAAATATTTCTTCACATGTAAATGGGACCATGACACTCTTAAGAACTGTATATATATTTTCAGCCTCTAATAAGGGTAAACAGTATCTTAATGGAACGATTGGCTGTCATGTTGTGAAGGAAAAGTGTAGAAGGTCTTACCATTTATAAAGCTTTTCTGGATACTTAGGCTTCTCAGCTCTTGAGGGAACAAGTTGGAATTCCTGCAGCTCTTAAGTTCTCTCCTCCCAAGTTTGTTTGTTATCTCCTGCTAAATTCAGTCCTTAACAAGGTTTGAAATAGATTAAAATCCCTCTCAGCTTGCAGTCTCTCGGAAGGTTAGGAGTTCATGAGTTCACTGCTATTGAAAAAAAAAAAAAGGAAAAGAAAAAAAAAAAAAAAAGATACAGAGCTTTCTGACAACTTTCTTTTTTCAAAAATAAATAAATAAATAAATAAATAAAGAGTTGAAAAGCAAAGAGAGCACAGGCATGTGCATTACTGAGGCTGAGGCCTCTCAGTCTGCCAAACCAGTATCTATATAAAGATCTTCTACTCTTCATTTGTATGTTCTTCTCTGGTTAACCTTCCCAGGTCATGGCTAGATAGGGAAAAAAATAGGCAGGTGCAAGGAAAAGACACTTTAATTAGCCACTGCCCTCTGCAAGTGGGGTCACAAAAATGATGAACTTAGCATCCACCAGTAAAATCCTTTGGTAAGAAGACAAGTCATAAACACACACCAAGCTTCCTCCTCCCTTCTTTGAGTTTCTAGTCCCAACCACATCTCTCCCACAGCAACCTCCATGAGTGCTGTCCTGGCAGGGTCAACCCTGAGTCACCCTCAAGCCTGCAGGTCTTTGGGATAGCCTAAGTATCAGATACAGGAAATAGTAAGAGACGAGTGGGGATGTTCACACTATACTTGTCTCTACTAGGGAGTGATCTGGTAAAGGTGCTGGGGCTGAGGACCCAGCACCCATACATCAGGGTCAACCTCTCCGAGTAAGCCTATTCGCAGTGCTTCTGGGAATAGGTGCAGCCTTTCCTTCTAACCAGGAGATGCAATACAAAGTAAATCACAGAACAATAAACAGTTGGAGCTGGAAGGCACTACCCTGCAAGATATTAACCACCCCTACCGGCAAGGAGGACAGATGAAATGTACCCTTACTTCTGACAGTAACTCTCGAAGAATGGAGTAACGTTTTGGCAATTCTCAGCATAGCATAGGGTGGCATTCAGGAGAGAAATGGAATGCTTCACAGAAATTAAACATATCAAAGGTGGACTTGAATAGCACTGTTGCCCAAAGAGATTTAAGATCTCCCTCCTTGGAGATCTTCAAAAGCCACCTGAACATGGTCCTGGACAACATGCTCTGGGTATCCCTGCTTGATCAGGTTGGACCAGGTGGGCCCAGAAGTCCCTTCCAACCTCAGCCATGCTGTAAGTCTGTGACTTTGAAAAAGAGATTGCAAATGGAAAGTGAAATCAAAAACACCAAAAAGAGATGCCATGCAGAAAGGCTGGGACTGCTCCAGATCAAAAAGGAACAGCAATTCCAGGGTCTGGACCTCGTTGCTGGACCCTGTTCAACAGTGACTGAAAAAATATTTGGGGTGGGACCCCACCTTCACTCCAGTGTTCCCTGGAAGAGGCCATCTCAGGTTTGCCAGAGTGGTTTGAAACAGTGAGGTGAGACTAAGAGCCTGTGATGCCACAGAAGGTCCAGAGGGGAAAGAAGGGACAAGAAGAACAGCATTACACAATTACACTTTTTATATATCCACAGTGCCCAAACCACACCATGCTTTAAAGGAGGATGACCTTCCAGGAGGTAAGGTAAACAAGGCATGAGCTTTAAAGGATGCCAATTTACTTCACAAACATCTTCAGGCCTTAAAAGCAGACCGTTCTACAGCCTTTGGGCAGAAGTTTGACTACTGCAAAACAGCAAAACAGCTGAAATGAATTTAATCGAAAGTAAACAAAACCACAAACCTAAGCATTCAAAATAAATACTGAGGGCATAAAATAAGTCTTTGCCAATAATCCAGCGTCTGTTAAGATGACATTCTAGGGCTGCTGTTATTTTAAAGTGAAAGTTTTAACAATATACAGTGATATAATCCAAGCACTGCAATAAGCTCTGCCTTAATTAGGAGCTCCAAGCTTCCCCATCCCAAAGGAGAAAAAAAGGTCACGTTACATTTGAACAGAGGAGAGAAGCAGAGGAAGACCTTCTGGACAAGGGAATTTGCTCTTTTTATCATAGGATGCAGAGGATGTATGTATAGCCCTTTTTCCCTTCAAAATACCTTGGTGATTTGAATGGAGATGTCCTTTCAGGGATACCATTTCCTCGTGCGCAATCTTTGATATTTCTGTGCAATTCCTAGATATCTCCCAGCTTTCTGCAGTGTGCTTCTTCCCTAGGAATTACCTGTAGGAACAACACATCTGCCTTAACCATTCAGCCTGAAACTTCCAAGCCACATTCCTGCACTCTTGCCCCAGAGCCTCCTTTCACTATTTTCCTTGTCTTGCAGCCACAGGCAGTGTGCAAGGGCTCAGAGCTGCATTTGTGTTCCCCAGCAGAGTGATCCTCTGTGTGGGGGGTGAAAGAACTCCACAGTGAAAGTGCTGAAAACAGGGGACAATTTTTGCTTTTTTTTTTTTTTAAAAAAAAAAAGGAAATAGGCAATCCCCTGTGACACATTCTGCTTCTTGGGCATCTAATCCAAGAACAAACTGTTCTGGAGCAAATGACTAAAACCTTGACAAAAGCAGTCTCTGCACCCAGTGGACAATTACTATGGTGTTATAACCAATATCCCTTCATACTCCCATTACTTTCCCAGTCTCATCATCAGGCAGAGAAATGTGTTCACCCATTCCCAAGGATATCAGGGGTGACAGTGATTTCCTCCACACAACATTTTGGAGTGATGCAGGAAAGCAGAACTATAAGTTAGGTGTCTGTGGGTCCTGTCTCAGGTCAGCCACTCTTTAAATAAAAATTTTGATTGATGCACAAGAAGAATTTCATGATGTTTTGTTGCCACATTTTCAAAATGGGGGAATATTTGCAGAGGCTGATAGGGCAGACAACTCTTCCAACCATCTGACTCAGTTTGACAGTGTAAATGAAAAAAAAATAATGAGAGGCAAAGATTTTTAACAGATAAAGCCTACACACACACTTATCCCTTTTCTTCTCTGAGAGACGTCACAGTGATTTTATGATGCTGCTAAGGAAAACCTTTGGCTTGTATTGGTTTGGAAACAGAAATTCTTTGCATATCATAGTCATTAACTAGCCTGGCTAAGAATTACTCAATGTTAACCGTGACCTACATGGATTGGAAGCAATTACCCCTTGATACTAAGAGCTTTTTCATTCAATAATGAAAAAAAAAAAAAATGTAGTTATCTTTCACCCTGGGCCACATGTGAAAAAAGAAATAACAACAAACCAATACAAAACCAAAAAAAAAAAAAGTTTTCCAAACCAGCCTAAATGCAAAAACGGATGTTTACCCTAAAAACAATTTGTTTAAACTGATGCAACATCACTCCTCATAATATATTTGGATCTATTTCAACAATTGTTGGAGAAAAACAGTGAGTCCGGGACCTCAGAGTGCCTAAGGGCTGCCGTGGCAAGCTTGCGCCATCCCATTGCCGTGCTCGGAAAGCGCTGTGCCACTGGTATGAGGTACATCTGTGAAGCTGGGGGCTGAGCACACAAGATTGGCCTTAGCTGCAGCCCTTGCTGCCCCAGCACGGTGCAGATGTGCACCCTTCTCCCCTTGTAGTAAAGGCTTGAGCCGCAGCCAGCAGTAGGGAGTTCCCCTCTTCAAGGGGAATCATTCACAGCGTCTCTCTGGTCTAGTTAAAGGAGCAAGGAATCCAGGCTTTAAGTATCTCCATGTAAGAGATTAACACTACGAGAGCTCATTTTGCAGGAATAGAAGTTTCAAACGGCAGTTTTAAGTAACGAGTCAAGGTGCAGTATGAGGAAAGAGCTGCTACTCACTTCTTTCCAAAAAGTGCTTATTCATATCCTCATGCCAAACTGCCCAAAGCACATCTCTTGGGGGCTTTAAAATGAACATTTTTTGCTCCACCAACTGAAAGTGATAAAAGTTTCCCATGGCTTAAATATGTAATAAGAGCACAGCACAGAGGATTTCTGGTAAGAAACTGCGTTCTGCTTTCTGGCTCAAACCACAGGATCTCGTTCTGAGCTAAGGACGTCAGTAAGGCTCACTGGATGGCAGGTGTCACCCACCAGGGCTGGTGGGAAGGACACCAAAGGGTCAGTCCTGCGAGAGGGCAGAGGGGCACATGAGTACTCACTGCTGGGCCTGCAACCACGGGCAGGGTTGTAGAAGTGCTGCGGCTTGGTTTGTTGAACCAAGGATTTGAGCTTTTTTTTTCTAGCCAAGATCAAGCAAGGATTTTTGCCCATTTGTGGGGGAGAAGGTGTCAGCCTGTATGGGAGGGTTTCTCAGCCTTTTGAGGAAGAATGGTTGAATAGGGAAAGATCATGTGGAAGGATGCTGTGCTGTAGGAAGATGTGCCAAGGGAGATATTTCTGAACCAGAAGGGAAATGAGTTAATGTTTGGAGGGAAGAGTGAGGGTGAAGAGGTGGTGAGGGGAAAGCACTCACATGTGCAGCAAGCAGGGGGACAAAAAACACATGGAAGCACTGCCTTCTCTTTGGATTTCACACTCTGGCTTATGCAGCTCCGTCCTAAGCTGAGGTAGCCACAGCAAATGAAACATAAGGAGTACATCCCACTGCAGAGATATTTTTGCTTCCGCAGATGAGATGAGCTGTGTACTCTGCTTTTTCCTTCTATTTTGACCCTGCTTTCTAGCTCAGAATTAGTTGTGAACTTGCAGTAACTGTGCCTGGAAACCACAGGGAAAAGCAAGAGTCTTGGCGAGGGATGGCACAGTTGCAAAGCATCTTCCCCGAGCTCCCTGAGCAGAGCTGTGCTCCTCCGGATGCACTGCTTGCATTGCAGAGAGCAGAGCAGTGACCTTTCTTCTGCAGCCTGGAACAGATGAGCTTGGGCTTGTTCAGAGAGGGCTTGGGGGCACGAGGGAGGAAGGATATTTCATTCTGTTTACCATCGCCAAGAAAAGTCTTTCAATAAATGAGAAATAGTTATTTGTTTTGTATTGGACTAGATTGCATCCAGATTCTTCCTCTGTTGGAGCTTGGTTGTATTTCATTCCACTTGTGTAACAATCCTGGCCCTCTCTCAGAGGGGTGGGTTTGCAGTTTGGATGATTGCCTGATAAGTGCTAGGATGGGACCCCTCAGCACTTCCCCATGTAGCGTGTGTAGCTTGTACCATAGGGCTGTTTTCCAGGGGGTGAACTTGTGGGACAGGGAAAATATTTTTCATGATACTTAATACACTGTGACTCAAAGAGCATCGGGGTCTCATTTTGGCTTCTCTTTCCCATTCAACTGATGGTCAATTTTTCTCTTTCTCTAAAAGTCATGGCTGGACAACACCATTTTGCACACAGTAATCAGACACCTCTGGGACATGGCCCAGACTCACACTAAAGGTGGACTTTCTCAAGTTAGAATTGAAAAAAAATACATCATAAGTGTGAAGCCAAGGGTTCATTGCATTTCTTGTTGTTGCTGAGGTTTCTCCACGTGGGTCCTGTCTGCTGCTGTCCCACAGTTAAGAAAAATAATCATCGCCACTGTCCCTGAAGCTGCTGCAAAGATTTGTAGCCAGCAGTTGACTCCTGAAGGAAGCTGTCAGTGCCCTGAGGGCACCAGCATGAATTTCTGGCCCTCACCAAACTCTCTAGGGCCTCCCTGACACCCACAACACCCTGACAGAAGTTAGGGGATGGAGGCCAGGATTGATCTATGCCCCTGGTGTCGTCTTGATCAGGGGGAGCGAGAAGCAGGAGCTGCCCTGGAGGAGGCACCCAGGGGAGCAGAGCCAGGCTGCATGCACGGTAGAGCAAAGGATGGCCTGGAAGCACACCCCCCATGGTACAGCCGGTAGGTAAGTGCTCAGCTGGCACTGGAACACACATTCCTACTTCCCAAGTTTGTCATGGATCTCTATAAATGGCTTTTTGCAGTAATTCCCTATGGAAAATGCATGCAGGGGATGAGAGTAGGAACCAGGGGGAAGGTAGCTGAAAGAAATTGTAGAAGAGGTTTGAAGGCAATGTAAAAACAGCCATCCACTGTGTTTTTAACACAGCATTTAAACACAGCATTTCTGATGATTACAAATCCAACATGACAAAAATCCTCTCTTTGCCTCTCAGTCTAGTAACAAGTCTTGTTGTCATACAGATAGTTTGTTAAAATCCCATACCAGAGACAGGGCCAGGATCTGACCGATGGCTTTGTCCTGGGAAATCACAGCCTCAGATCTGAAGCTCCTCAAGATACAAATCTGGTCAGAAAGTGGTGTTAAAGTGCTTCTCAGCAACACAAAACTCCAGACAGTCTCATAAAGATGACTGTGCCTACCTCAGTGGGCATCAGCATGGATCGAAGGGTCACTCACTGAGTCTGTGAGCTGTTGCTACTATTCTGAGATTGATTTAGTAACTGCTAAGTAGAGAAGTAAAAAGAAAAGTGGGGTACAGTTCTCCTCCCACAGACAGATGGGCAGACACAAAATCTTGCCTTTATACCTTAAAGAAGAGGGATTTGCTTGTTTGTTTGTTTTTCACAATGAAAATGGCTTTTTAAAAATCTTTACAACTCTTTGAAAACACCTGTGGTCCAGAGAGCACTGAAATTACTCAGCAAGGACTGAAATCAGTCAGCCCTCAGGCTGTCCCAACAGGTCATTTTGGACCTTTCTTCGTCCTGCTAAGGCTTCTGCGTAAAATTTATCTTCTTCATTTTTAATCCAAAGCCACAGCCTTTCGGAAAAAGCAACAATATCTGAGCAAACCAAGCTGAAAGCCTTTGCACGGAGCCCTGCTCGGAGCTAAGGCGCAGGGCGATAGAGCAGCCGGCAATGCCACCTAGCTGCGGCACTGCCTCCGGGAGCTGCTCGCCGTGGTGGTGAGCAGTCAGCCTGCGTGGCCCTTCCTAAAACAACTTCTGGTCATTATTCCTTCCGCTGGAAAACGGGTTTGTTTTTACTCGGGGCATGAGATAAAAGGCTGGTGCTTCTGCACCGGTTATGTTTTATTGTACTTTCAATCCGCTCTTGTTTTATTCGTCCTTTCTTCTGATTTTAATCAGTTCTGATTTTAATCAGATGTTGCTGTGACTGCCTCTGCTCTGGTCTTTCCACCAGTACTGGTGGAAATCTCCACTCCCTGCTTCTCACTACCTGGATGCCTGCATACCATCAGCGAGTTTCTCCTTCCTTTTGACCTTCTCAGTAATAAATATAACTGTTCATTTCACAAAACAGACATAGGTTCCTGTGCAGCAGTTTCCAGCAGCTTTAGAAAAATAAATGACTAGAGCCATTCCTCAGACCATCCAGGTAGCCCTGGATTTCACAGAGAGCACAGCTGCCCTTACTGTTTTTGTCTCCTTTCTGATGTCCCAGAAAGCTGATGATAAGGAAAGAATTATATATCCAAAGTCTAATATTTCTCTGCCACTAATCAAAAGGAATATGAAATAACTTCGGCAATAAGCAAAGCTTTTAATGCAAATGATGACTGTTACTCATGAAGGTTTCAGCAATTCTAAAGAGGATTTAATTTTGAAAGCATTCACCTCCCAGCAGAGTCTGTAAGCCACAGAAGACCTCCTGGACACTCACATCATCCATGGATCCAGGCTCTAAAGCCATCCAACACCTGTGCAAACAGAGCTAGTATTACACAAGGCAGTGTGCCCTGCCATAACATCCACTGTGCTGGGCTTCGTGCAAAGGACACACATCTTTCCAAGAGGATCCAGTGCAGCGGTGTTCGGTGATGGCAGTGTACCTGCACGGTGAAAAAATAACACGAAATGATCTCAGATAGGTCACAACAGCAACAGAGGATGCCCGAATATCTGTCATGGCTCATTTGTCTTGAGGTAGTTTGAGCTGCCAACAGTCTGGCCATGGGGGGAGATGCTGTGTTCTGATTCATACTCGGCCAATGTGAAATATCTGTAACTCAGTTGGAGCTCATTAACCACTCATGACTCCTCTGCCTTTTCCAGGAATCGGACTATTCCTGCATATTATGGCCAATGACCCCATGCATCTTCCATGGTGCATAAAATACAGCCAAACAGACAGGGACTGTGCTAGGCACGCAGGGGAGGACACACTGGAAGGAGGCAG